GGACAAAAGTTGTTTAACAAACGATCATACATTCAAGTCGCTATTATTGGTTTGTATTACAAGGGGTGAGCGCAGTAGAGGGAACAGTGAAACAAATGCACGTGCGGTTCGTGATGAGCGTTAACTTAGACCAACTCTACTTGTTCTCGGTGTTTCATTTAATGTGCATATCCCCTTGTAATACAAACCAATAAAAGCGATTTGAAACTATGATCGTTTGTTAAACAACTTTTATCCTAAGTTGAATAAAATTCTGAGATTTAAATGGTCAGTAGGCAAGGTAAAATTATAAGGATTCGCAATCTTAATTTCATCTTATTCGATTTACTTTTTTGTTTAATTTGACATTCATCGGTACGTTTTCAATGCAAACAGACTATAGTTGTGTATCAAGAGATTTTGTGTCAAGGGAAAATACACGGGAAATCATCAGCTGTGCATCCAGAATAAAATGTACTGAGAGTTATCATCATCATTCCGTATCCAGGGTAACATATGATTTAGGAATTATTAATCTAGCTATGTATCCATGGAAAAAATACAAAATTAACCAGATCAAGTATTCTTTCCATGCATAGACACAGGGCCTCGTGTATTTGCGAGGATTAAAGATTGAAGAATAATTGAGATGACTTGGTAGTATAAGTCATGATTTATTGTACTGTGAAGCATTTCGAGTCGGGGGTCATCTCATTATATTTTTAATCTTCAATCCTCGCAAAGACACGAGGTTCTGTGTGCATATACTCCACCTAAACATGAAATGTCATGTCATAAAATTTTAGACGTTTTAGGGCCGACTAAAAACCAAAGAATTAATTATTTTATCTGACATACTAATCTAACCATTTCATCACCTGATGATGGTGAGGAGTACAGTAGTGTGCTGAAGACGTTTTCCGCAATATCTTGTGTCGTATGCAAATTAAGTCTGAACGGAATATGTCACAGTGAACCTAAATCTGAACAGTCTCACCTTGTCCATAAAATAGCTATACGTGTCATATCCCCCGCCATATATTCATCATGCGTGACAATTATTCTATATAACAGCGACCTGTTCCTTTGAACCTATGAACATTTCACATTGACAAATGCTAAAGAGGAAATTTGTAATGCCTTAAAAAAATGACGCATCACGTGTTTTGTTTGTAAGGCGTAACATCTGACTTAGTATTCCCATTTGACGTATATATATGCGTATGTATGTATAAATATCCACATATACCGTTTACTCAGTGTAACAAGGTATGTTACCTCTGTTTCTGTCAGATTAGATGAACGTTGTATTCCTTCTGCATGGACAAATCTCCCTTAGTCATCACAAACGCTGGCAGAGGATGTGGGCACCCAAGTGAGTCTGTAGTTAGTAAATTCATATCACTACTACATTATCAGCTGTTTGAAGTTACTTGAGTAAGTCTTAAGGTTTAATCACTTACAAGGTAATTATAATGTACAGGTAAGAGGGACCGCCTCCGTGGTGTAGTGGTTAGAGCGTCCGCCCGGAGAGCGGAAGGTCGCGGGTTCGATCCCCGACCGCGTCATACCAAAAGACGTTAAAATATGGTACTTGTTGGTCCCTGCCTGGCGCTCGGCATAAATGGGTACAACAAGGACTGGTCGGCTCGGAGTCAGTATACTGTGTCTGAGTGGGGTATTCATGCTTCACTGCGGCATGGTATCTCAGTGGGCTAGCTCTATAAAACCAGCTTCAGTCTGGGCTAGTACAAGCAGCCGCACATATACATACACATGCATGTACGTCGTCATATGAGCGAAATATCTCCAGCACGACGTTGAACCCAATTCCACCACAACCACCACAGGTAAGAGGCGACTAACGGGGTCGGGTGGTCAGGCTCGCTGACGTGGATGTCACACGTCACCATATCCCAATTGTGTAGAACGATACTCATGATGTTGATCACTGGATAATCTGGTCTCGATTATTTCGCCGTCATATAGCTGGAATATTGCTCATTGTGGCGTAAAACTAAACTCTCTCTCTCAATCACTCACTCACTATAATGTACAGTTGTTGTTTTCTCAGATTGATTTTTCAAAAGCTATTGTTATTTTATTATTATAATTTTTTATCAAAAGCGACAAATCCAAATCTAAACAGGAAAGAAATCTGGACTAAAAGCAAAATGGGTTGTACACTTCCGACTATATCAAGAGCATGCGTTTATGAATCACTCTCAACCAGTTATCAGTTAAGTTAACATGAGTTGAATTTTGTGCCATTTTACTTTTAAAAATACTTTCATTCACATAAATGAAAAAAAACCATGGGTTTTGAGCAAATGTACACATTCTCGCCCAAAGGTCTGTCCATTGGGGAGGTACTTTACTATTTGAGTTTTCGAATAATGTTTTTTCAATTTTAAATCCTTAGGATATATTCATGATAACTGCATGTGTAATTTTGTCAAATCATTTGTTAGAATCTGGTCACAGTGCGGAGAGTTTCTGGGCTTTGGTGTTTCCAGAAATATTTTGTGATGTGCTGTAATGATACAAGGTGTTCCCCCCCTCCCTTCGTCTCTCAAGTCAGTAACTATGCTTTACGTAACGCATCGCATTTGCAAACTATTGCCTGCCGTACTGCTCTATATGACAATTCATTTCTACCGGACGCTGTAAGTTTATGGAATGCTTTACCGCAGAGTATTAAATCTCTTACAGACATCAATGATTTCAAATCTGCCTTAAGTCCCAGAGCTAAAGACATTCATTTCGATCCAAATATAGGTTCAAGAGTTTGTCAAATCCTCCACTGTCGCTTAAGGTTAGGATGTAGCGATCTCAACGCTGACAAACACAACAGACATATATCAGAGAGAGCAGATTGTTTGTGTGTCATGATATATATTGTTTCATATATCTATGTATATTGGAGCGGTCTTCATATAAGTTCTTTTGAGCTTGTTGACCACTGCAGTTCATGAAAATTCTGTCGTTGTTTTTTCATAAAATAAATATGTTTAAATCATACAAGGTGTTCGCGAACAGGTCTCGTTTCCTGCCCCACCAGTGCCATGCATCATCAACATATGCAAATTGTTCACCTGAAATTATGTTTACCACAACACTTTTTAAAGCTTTACTGGGACCTTTTACTGAGGTGAGGTGAGGTGAAATTGAGTTTAACGTCGGGCTTGAAAATATTTCGCTCATATGACGACGTGCATGCTTGTGTATGTGTATGTGCGGCTGCTTGTACTAGCCCAGACTTAAACTGGGTTTATAGTGCCAGCCCACTGAGATACCATGCCGCAGTGAAGCATGAATACCCCACTCAGACACAGTATACTGACTCCGAGCCGACCAGTCCTTGTTGTACCCATTAATGCCGAGCGCCAGGCAGGGACCAACAAGTACCATATTTTAACGTCTTTTGGTATGACGCGGTCGGGGATCGAACCCGCGACCTTCCGCTCTCCGGGCGGACGCTCTTACCACTACACCACGGAGGCGGTCTACCTTTTACTGAACCTACACTGAACTCCTGAGCAAGAGTCATATGACGCTCTTTGAAATCTTGGTAAAACAGCATACTTGATTGTACGTCAGAAGTTGTGAAATGTAAACACTTAAGGCTGGAACCGTTGGAATATTGCTCCGTCTACCTTTTACTGAACCTACACTGAACTCCTGAGCAAGAGTCATATGACGCTCTTTGAAATCTTGGTAAAACAGCATACTTGATTGTACGTCAGAAGTTGTGAAATGTAAACACTTAAGGCTGGAACCGTTGGAATATTGCTCCGTATGAAGGGAAAGTTGGCACTGACGGAAAATTTAACATCATTTCTTTTTGTCACACAAAATTGTGGAGAGGTTTTTGTCCCTGAATCTGTATGCATAAATCTAAATATGAGTGAGTGAGTTTAGTTTCACGCCGCACTCAACAATATTCCAGCTATATGACGGCGATCTGTAAATAACCAGACAATCCAGTGATCAACAGCATGAGCATCGATCTACGCAACTGGGATACGATGACATGTGTCAACCAAGTCAGCAAGCCTGACCACCCGATCCCTCTTACGATAAGCATGGGTTACAGAATATCTGTAACCTGAAGACACGCCCATTCTATTTTTGTACTGAATTCCAAAGCAGCATCCGTACAAAGAGAGGTTATATGGCTGGGTCCAGCAAATGTACCACCAAATCCCTATCTCAGAGAGTACCAGTAATTATTAATTTCAAGGAAGGCACTTTCTCTATATTCACAGAAAGTATTTCAGTCAAGCAAAATTAGTACCATGTGGATTCTCAAACACTCGGAGGATTTGCTTGAATTTTTACAATTTGAGACATAGACCGTGTCAAAACATTGTACACCACTGTCCAACATGACAAACGTAAGGGAAACTTTCATTCCTTGATCCATGGGGCATGTGTTCATAAATGTAAACATCATATCGTTAAAGCTACAAAGGCATTTTGTAACAGCTACTAAGCTCTCTTGGCCTTAATTGAAATGATTTCGGCAGAGAGGGACATATTTAGAGTTCTACTCAATTATTGCAGTATGTTTCTAAAGCATTAATTTGCCTTTGTAGACCAATCATTGACTCTGGGAAAGACACAAAGATATATGTTACATTTGACCACTTTCTAAAATGGCATTGTCATATATTTTTGACCGCTTCCGTCTCCGCTTGTGAGTTTAACGAGAAGCTTCACTCATTTGTTCACAATAAATTCTCGAATATATTAAACTCCTGACAGTTAAGACACATTATAGTCTGTTTGCAGTGAAACGTACCGATGAATTTCACCTTAAACAAAAAAGTAAATCAAATAAAGTGAAACTAAGACTGCGAATCCTCATAAATTTGCCTTGCCAGTTGGCAAGAAAAAATTATGAGGATTCGCAATCTTAATTTCATCTTATTCGATTTACTTTTTTGTTTAATTTGACATTCATCGGTACGTTTTCAATGCAAACAGACTATAGCTGTTAATGTAAAAAGCATTCAACCATGGCTCCTTTCGTTTTCGGTGGGACTAGTATGAAAGGTGAGCAGTTGTACACTGTGACGGCATGTTCTGGTGTAAACTGTGATGGCTGAGAAGCTTTTCACAAAAAAAAGAACTCAAATTGTCGTCAGTAATGTCGTCTTCTTCCACGGCGACAGGAAGAAAGTTAATTGGTCTGTGAATGGGATTTTTGTGAATTACGTGACAAGTTACGACATCCAGTGAAGGTACCTGCACACGGATCTTGGAACAAATGTACTCATTCATTCGTGCGTACGTACGAGAATTGTTTATTGCTTTGTTACGAGGTGTACATGCATATCAAAATCATTTACTGGATGCAATTTAATCGTCAGGCTGGATCCGTTGTTCATTATCATTGCAGCACTGAAGGCAATCTTGCTGTCACAGTATATTTTCAAAACGTGACGGTATCAGCTTGTGACATAAAAGCTTACCATGCCCTCTATAAATATCTGTGATTTGCCATGCCTTCTAGAAATATCTGTGACTTGCATTGCGTTCTACAAATATATGTGACTTGCATTGCCTTCTTGAAATATCTGTGACTTGCATTGCCTTCTAGAAATATATGTGACTTGCATTGCCCTCTAGAAATATCTGTGACTTGCATTGCCTTCCACAAATATCAGTGTCTTGCCATGTCATCTAGAAATATATGTGCCTTGCATTGCCCTCTAGAAATATATGTGACTTGCATTGCGTTCTAGAAATATCTGTGACTTGCATTGACTTCTAGAAATATCTGTGACTTGCATTGACTTCTAGAAATATCTGTGACTTGCATCGCGTTCTAGAAATATATGTGACTTGCCATGCCTTCCACAAATATCAGTGTCTTGCCATGTCATCTAGAAATATATGTGCCTTGCATTGCCTTCTAGAAATATCAGTGACTTGCCATTGCCAGAAATATCTGTGACTTGCCTTGCCTTCTAGAAATATCTGTGACTTGCGTTGCCTTCTAGAAATATTTGTGACTTGCCATTTCATCTAGAAATATATGTGCCTCGCATTGTCCTCAGAAATATCTGTCACTTGCCATGCCTTCTAGAAATATCTGTGACTTGCGTTGCGTTCTAGAAATATGTGTGACTTGCATTGCCTTCCACAAATATCAGTGTCTTGCCATGTCATCTACAAAATATATGTGCCTTGCATTGCCCTCTAGAAATATACATGACTTGCATTGACTTCTAGAAATATCTATGACTTGCCATGTCATCTAGAAATATCTGTGCCTCGCATTGCCCTCTAGAAATATCTGTGACTTGCCATGCCTTCTAGAAATATCTGTGAATTGCATTGCCCACTAGAAATATACATGACTTGCATTGCGTTCTAGAAATATCTGTCACTTGCGTTGCGTTCTAGAAATATGTGTGACTTGCGTTGCGTTCTAGAAATATATGTGACTTGCCATGCCTTCCACAAATATCAGTGTCTTGCCATATCATCTAGAAATATCTGTGACTTGCATTGCCTTCTAGAAATATGTGACTTGCATTGCCTTCTAGAAATATATGCGACTTGCATTGCCTTCTAGAAATATCTGTGACTTGCATTGCGTTCTAGAAATATCTGTGACTTGCGTTGCGTTCTAGAAATATATGTGACTTGCCATGCCTTCCACAAATATCAGTGTCTTGCCATGTCATCTAGAAATATATGTGCCTTGCATTGCCCTCTAGAAATATATATGACTTGCATTGACTTCTAGAAATATCTGTGACTTGCGTTGCTTTCTAGAAATATGTGTGACTTGCCATGCCTTCCACAAATATCAGTGTCTTGCCATGTCATCTAGAAATATATGTGACTTGCATTGCCCTCTAGAAATATGTGTGACTTGCCATGCCTTCTAGAAATATGTGACTTGCATTGCCTTCTAGAAATATACATGACTTGCATTGCGTTCTAGAAATATCTGTGACTTGCATCGCCTTCTAGAAATATCTGTTACTTGCATTGCCTTCCACAAATATCCGTGTCTTGCCATGTCATCTAGAAATATATGTGCCTTGCATTGCCCTCTAGAATTGCCTTCTAGAAATATCTGTGACTTGCATTGACTTCTAGAAATATCTGTGACTTGCATTGCGTTCTAGAAATATATGTGACTTGCCATGCCTTCCTCAAATATCAGTGTCTTTCCATGTCATCTAGAAATATATGTGCCTTGCATTGTCCTCTAGAAATATATATGACTTGCATTGACTTCTAGAAATATCTGTGACTTGCGTTGCGTTCTAGAAATATCTGTGATTTGCCATGCCTTCCACAAATATCAGTGTCTTGCCATGTCATCTAGAAATATATGTGCCTCGCATTGCCCTCTAGAAATATATGTGACTGGCCATGCCTTCTAGAAATATTTGTGACTTGCATCGCGTTCCAGAAATATCTGTGACTTGCGTTGCGTTCTAGAAATATATGTGACTTTCCATGCCTTCCACAAATATCAGTGTCTTGCCATGTCATGTAGAAATATCTGTAACTTGCATTGCCCTCTAGAAATATCTGTAACTTGCATTGCCTTCTAGAAATATCTGTGACTTGCATTGCGTTCTAGAAATATGTGTGACTTGCCATGCCTTCCACAAATATCAGTGTCTTGCCATGTCTTCTAGAAATATATGTGCCTCGCATTGCCTCCTTGAAATATATTTGACTTTCCGTGCCTTCTTAAATGTCTGTGACTTCCACTGCATTCTAGAAATATTTGTGACTTGCCATGCCTCCTGGAAATATATGTGACTTGCATTGCCTTCCACCAATAACTGTGACTTGCCATGCCTTCTAAAATGTCTTGTGTGACTTGCCATGCCTTCTAAAATGTCTTGTGTGACTTGCCATGCCTTCTAAAATGTCTTGTGTGACTTGCCATGCCTTCTAAAATGTCTTGTGTGACTTGCCATGCCTTCTAAAATGTCTTGTGTGACTTGCCATGCCTTTTAGAAATTCTTTGAACGGCTTGTGACTACGCTGACATGCAAAAGAAAGTATACTTGCATTGGATTTGGAATGCTACCTAAAATGCAAATGTTACTAAAACGTCACTGTGTTATTAAAACGTCACAGTAATATTAAAACGTCACCGTGTTATTAAAACGTCACAGTGTTATTTAAACGTCACAGTGTTATTAAAATTAATAACGTCACTGTGTTATTAAAACGTCACAGTGTTATTAAAACGTCACAGTGTTATTAAAAACGTCACTGTTATTAAAACGTCACAGCCGTACCAGTAGCGGGTTTCGCTGGTGTACACCCGGCTTCTCAAGACAGCTGTGATGGAAAAGATCACAGCCAACAAGGATGCTAAACAACATTCACTCATGAAATTTCAGGCTCTCCCAAACAGAAAGCTGTGAGAAATAAGACCACCGGCCCTCCTGTGAAACCAGCTTACCTTCCTCCATGTAGGGTGTGTCAAAGCCCAGCTTCAGGAATACACTATGGGATTGTCACATGTGAAGCGTGCAAGGTAAGATATTATGTTACGGTATGGGAGTTACGATCACCTTAGTGCCACGACTGTCGTAAGTGTATGCTATGGTAGTTACGATCACTTTAGCGCTACGACTGTCATAAGCGTATGTGACGGTTTGGGAGTTACAATCACCTTAGTACTACGACTGTCGTAAGTGTGTGGTACGGCATGGTAGTTACGATCAACTTAGTGCCACAACTGTCGTAAGTGTATGCTATGGTAGTTACGATCACTTTAGCGCTACGACTGTCATAAGTGTATGTGACGGTTCGGGAGTTACGATCACCTTAGCGCTAGGACTGTCATAAGTGTGTGGTACGGTTTGGGAGTTACAATCACCTTAGTACTACACCTATCGTAAGTGTGTGTTACGGTATGGGAGTTACGATCACCTTAGTGCCACGACTGTCGTAAGTGTATTCTATGGTAGTTACGATCACTTTAGCGCTACGACTGTCTATGTGACGGTTTGGGAGTTACAATCACCTTAGTACTACGACTGTCGTAAGTGTGTGTTATGGCATGGTAGTTACGATCACCTTAGTTCCACGACTGTCGCAAGTGACTGGTCGATCAAGCGCTGTGTTATGTGACGGTGGTAGTTACAATCACCTTAGATCAAGGCATGGTAGTTACGATCACCTTAGTTCCACGACTGTCGCAAGTGTATTCTATGGTAGTTACGATCACTTTAGCGCTACGTAAGTCTATGTGACGGTTTGGGAGTTACAATCACCTTAGTACTGCAACTGTCGTAAGTGTGTGTTATGGCATGGTAGTTACGATCACCTTAACTATAAGACTAATTTATACAACGGTACCCAGGTGCCATCATGTGAGGGCTGAGAAAGTGTTTGCATTAAGTAGTCGAACTCAGGTGAGAGGTCATCCGCCCCATGGTTCCACGTCTTTCCTTCCACGAATGACCCGTGAAGATCCGGGTTAGAATTGATCCTCAGTATCCCATGCTTGTCGTAAAGGCGACAAACGGGATCGGTTGGTTGATACATGTCATCGTATCCCAATTGCGTAGATCGATGCTCATCACTGGATTGTTTGGTCCAGACTGGATTATTTACAGGCCACCACAATATAGCTGTAATATTGCTGAATGCGGCGTAAAATTAACTCACTCACCCACCTTACTCGAGGTTTTATCTAGAGTGACAATGCCCTGTTTGTGTTTTGAATTCTTCGGGTCCACACCCTACGTCGACACATGGCTATTTCATTCTTCAAAACGATACGAGAACTTGGTATTGCTGGAATAGTGCTAAAAGCGGCGTAAAATCATACTCACTCATTCTTCATAAAAAAAATCGTTACGTACCTTTTGACCTGCATACACGTGTCTTGTGATCATGCTCTCAAAAAACACACACGCAAAATTCGTGATTGTGCTCCGTGCATTACCATGCACGTGCAAATTGTGAATCACGACCTTAAAGTCCACGAAATGTCTTCATTAATACGGACTGAAGACGCCCGACACACATTCATATTCATAAGTAGCAGGTGCGGTACGGTATCCCAGTAGTTAAAACGTCCTGTGATTGATTCCCCATACGGGCACCATATGTGAAGCCTGTTAACGGTGTCCCCCCGCCGTGATATTAGTGGATTATTGCTAAAAACGTCGGCATAAGACCCAACTCACACATAAATTATATAAAGCACTGTTACTTTTGTCCGTTAGTATATACTATAGTCCGTTTGGCTCAAAAGCGGACCGATGAATTGCAATCTAAGTCGAAAACTAATAAACATAAAATACTCAATGAAACGCTGATCATAATCAAAACATCATACCCGCTCTGTGAGTTTTTTGCAGAATTTTTGTCCTAAAAATAAAAAAAGTTGTTTAACAATCTATCATTAAAATATTGACTCAGTTCACTATTTGTTACGAGGGAGGAGTGCAGAGAAAGGGACAGCCAGGTGTTCAAGAACGGATGGAGACGGCACAGCACAGGTTAATGAATGAATAAATAACTTTGTCTGTGAACGTGCTTCTCGAACACCTGGCTGTCCCTTTCTCTGCACTCTTCCCTCGTAACAAACAATGAACTGTGTCAATACTTTAGCTCACTTCAGCGTTCCTGTTCATGTTCGTGTTCATGTATTTGGCCAAAACATCCCATCCGATTCTAGGTTTATCGGCGACGTTTCAGAATTACTATTGGTGGTTTGATGGAAAAGATTCAATTCTCCTAGTAATTATCAGATTTTCACATTTCAAAACACGCACCAAAATAACGTTATGAATCGCGATTTTGTAATCTGTTAAAATGGCAAAGTTTACAATTTTGAAAGGTCATTTTCAGCACTTTTAGTTCGTTTAAGATGGAAGTGGCTGATAGTTAGATGCTATTGCAGGAGTATATTTGTAATCTGTGAGAAAACCACTGCCTTGACCTTGGAATAGACCAAGACTAAGGAGAGTTTCTATGTCTGCTGAGTAGATATTATTCTTTTAGTGCGGATCAGGCAGATGCTTCAGATGCAGATGGACACAACTGATCCAATGCCTGTGGATGGGTCGAATGTATCATTTATTCGCGGATGAGTCGAATGTATCATTTATTCGCGGATGAGTCGAATGTATCATTTATTTGCGGATGGGTCGACTGTAGCATTTACCCGCGGATGGGTCAAATGTATCATTTATTCGTTGATTAGACGAATGTATCATGTATTCGCGAATGGGTGGAATGTACCATTTATTCGCGAATGGGTGGAATGTATCATTTATTCGCGGATGAGTCGAATGTACCATTTATTCGCGGAAGAGTTGAATGTACCATTTATTCGCGGATGGGTCGAATGTATCATTTATTCGCGGATGAGTCGAATGTATCATTTATTCGCGAATGAGTCGAATGTATCATTTTATTCGCGGATGAGTCGAATGTACCATTTATTCGCAAATGAGTCGAATGTATCATTTATTCGCGGATAGGTGAAATGTATCATTTTTTCGCGGATGGGTCGAATGTATCATTTATTCGCGAAAGGGACGAATGTATCATTTATCCTCGGATGGGTCGAATGTATCATATATTCGCGGATAGGTGAAATGTTTCATTTATTCGCGGATGAGTCGAATGTATCATTTATTCGCGAATGGGTCGAATGTATCATTTATTCGCGAATGGGTCGAATGTATCATTTATTCGCGGAAGAGTCGAAAGTATCATATATATCATATATTCGAATATCGGTCGAATGTATCATTTATTCGCGGATGAGTCGAATGTATCATATATTCGCATATGGGTCGAATGTATCATTTGTTTGTGGATGGGTTGAATGTATCTTTAGGCGCGGGTGGATCCAATGGGTGTTTTAAGCACGGACGGGCCGGATTTAGGTGCCGATGGATTTATAACTACTACAAGTCAGTAACCCATGCTTGTCGTAAGAGACGAATAACGGGATCGGATGGTCAGGCTCACTGACTTGGCTGACACCTGTCATCGTATCCCTATTGCGCAGATCGATGCTCATGCTGTTGATCACTGGATTGTCTGCTCCAGACTCGATTATTTACGGACTTCTGCCACATAGCTGGAATATTGCTGAGTGCGGCGTAAAACTAAAATCACTCACTCACTAATGATAAATACTTTATATTCTCTACTGTTGTGCATCTGGAATCATAAACGTGATGTCATGGAATTGTTCCTTGTTGAACAGGGGTTCTACCGACGTAACAGCATGCAAGAAAACCCTTACACGTGTCGACAAAGTGGGAACTGTGACCTGACTCGGAACAGAAGATGCTGTTCCCACTGTAGATTTAACAAGTGTGTTGCTGTAGGCATGTCCAAACAAGGTCAGTGAGTGAGTGAGTTGGGTTTTACGCCACTGTTTGCAATATTCCAGCCATATCACGGCGGGAGACACCAGAAATGGGCTTCACACATTGTACCCATGTGGGGAATCGAACCCGAGTCTTCGGCTTGATGAGCGAACGCCTTAACCACTAGGATACCCCACCGCCCTAACGATTTCAGTGAACTAAGACGTTTACTGTGCAGCCCACAATCACTGGAGACACACAGAAGGCTTCTATATATGTGTTATCAACAGTTTGAGGTTACACGTTTCAGACTACATGAGATTGAAGTAATATTTCACCATCTTTACTTGTCTGTCGTATTGCTGAGTGCGGCGTAAAACTAAACTCACTCAATCAATTGTCTGTCAATAACGATGAGTAATTGTCCAAGTTCTCCATGTTATTGTATACTATGATAAACTCCTTTACTTCAAGCAGTTCTTAGAAAACCTTGGTTGTGCCTTTTCTGTACATTTAGAGGTCATCCAATCCAGTAAGAAAGCACTTGAGTAACATTTGTCGAATAAATCGAAAACCTGGTTTGTATTTGAAAGTAATGGATTAACCGATTTCATTACACAATGCCATTTAGAACTGACTGACTGACTGAGTTTAGTTTTACGCCGCTTTTAGCAATATTCCAGCAACATCACGGCGGGAGACACCAGAAATGGGCTTCACACATTGTGCCCATGTGGGGAATCGAACCCGGGTCTTCGGCGTGACGAGCCAACGCTTTAACCACTAGGCTACCCCACCGCCCCGCCATTTAGAAAGTCAAATGTAACATATGTTACATTTTGGATTGCACTTTCTTAGTAAAGTACATCCGGGATTCGAAACCACACCCTCAGAGTCAGGCACCTAATGCCAGCACACAAAGTCAGCCGCCTAACAGGCTAGTGGAAGTCGCGGTCGAGGCTGACTTTGTGTGCTGGCATTAGGTGCCTGACTCTGAGGGTTTGGTTTCGAATCCCGGATGAGACTCAACCAAACCAAAGTACAAGAATTTGTACATTACTAAGAAAGTGTAATCCAAAATATAACATAGCCACTTTCATTCTCTTCTATTTCCAATTTGAAGACACCAATAATGCTTGATAGTCTCTAAAGTCTGTTATGTATTTGTTTTGGGTAGGGTACCTCCTTAATGCCGTTGTCCTTGTGTTGAGGGCGTTACATGTCATTCCCCATGATTCACAATAGGCTGATATTATACCTGAATATATTGGACAAAACGTATTTCCTAACTAAATAGTCTAAAATGTACAGCATAACCCCAAAATGTTGATAACACATGTATCTTATGTAAGTGGCATTCAGAAGCTGGTATGATGAAGAAGCAAAATTTTGATAAAAGTGTTAGCACTATCTTCACCAAAACGTCGCATCTAATACAGTAAAGACGTTGTCTATCAGTAAGAATGGTGCCTCTTAAATACATGTATTATGTACAATATAACCTCAAAATGTTTATAACAGTGTATCTTCTTTTAGTGGCATTCAGAAGCTGGTATGATGAAGGAGCAAAATTTTGATAAAAGTGTTAGCACCATCTTCAGCAAAACGTCGCATCTAATACAGTAAAGACGTTGTCTATCAGTAAGAATGGTGCCTCTTAAATACATGTATTATGTACAATATAACCTCAAAATGTTTATAACAGTGTATCTTCTTTTAGTGGCATTCAGAAGCTGGTATGATGAAGGAGCAAAATTTTGTCTATCAGTAAAATTGTGCCTCTTAAATACATATGTACAATATAACCTCAAAATGTTTACAACAACGTCGCATCTACTGCAATAGAGAAGTTGTCGATCTGTGTGGAAATTGTCCCTGTTAATTTCATGTATAATGTACAGTATAATCTCAAAATCATAACACGTGTTCCTAATATACACATCAGCATATAATAAAAGATGTGCCATCTATACCAATCTTCCTTAACTGTACCTACATTTCATTTCTGTGTTCAGTGTCTAAAGCCTTTATCTTAATGAATCGACGGCACTGTGTCCTCTTTTTGAACACAAACTGTTTATCTGAAATAGGGTACCCATGGTTGCAATATTACGTCATCAGCCATCATGGAGAATTACATACTGAAGCAGATTACTTATGTTTTCACTGTGATAACTGTTCTATCTACTGCGGTTCTGGTCTGGTGAATTCAGGGTACAAAGCGGACCCAGTCGTCTAAGGCGCCGAAAATCGCCAACAGACTCGTGTGCCATGGGCATGCCAGAAACCTATGACCGTTGGTTCGATTCCCGGTTCGCCTCAGTAATGTTTTTAGGATTGTCAGCACCCTATCCGTAAAAATTACATAATATTTAAAGCGGCGTTAAACTAATTCCACTCTCACTAGAAATACTATTCAACTCCTGGTTTGGTTTTGTCTGGCGTCATTACAAATCAAAATATTAGGTTACTATTGCAGATATTCGTATTGGACGTTATACCCTGCAAACGAGAACGACACACACCCTTGAGGTTCGGAAGCTGAGCGCGGAATGGGCGTCTACTTCCAAAGAAGAAGACTTGTGCTCTGTATCAACCCAGGAAGAACTGGATTGCTTGGCAGCCATGCTCCTTACAGCACACGCCAAGTATATACCTTCGCTGCATTATCTAACAGATGCTGAAATAGCTGAACAACACTTATTGTATATCGTGAGTTAACTGTCCTTGTATTTCATATTTTAAAGCAGCTCATTGTTTTAAACAATGCACTGGTCATTGCAACATCACGGACACGATGATGACGGGTAGGAATATAAAACCAAGTCTCTCTAGACCTGTCTTCTCAGGGGCTTGTAACGAAATAGCGAGAACAACGAGCACAAACTCTGAGTGGTGATTCTGGCTAGGAATCGAAAAATTCACTATTGTGTTTAGCTTCCGAAGTCCCCAGCTCGAAACGTACGGCTTCGATCTTTGTGATCTTTGCCTCATGTTATAGAAAAATCTATTGGCTTGAAATGGGTTTATAGTTTTGTAGGGGTATATACAGCGATCATTGTTGAATTCGTCCTGAAATAAACTTATGTTGACCTCGTTACACCTCTGTCCTTTCATATAGTGCTACGACCCGTTCAGTGACAGTATATACCTTGATGCCAGTGCTACGACCCGTTCAGTGACAGTATATACCTTGATGGCAGTTGTGTATAGTGCTAAGACCCCTAAGTCACAGTATATACCTTCGTGACACTTGTTTATAGTGCTAAGACCCCTCAGTGACAGTATATGCCTTGATGACACTTGTTTATAGTGCTAAGACCCCTCAGTGACAGTATATACCTTGATGCCAGTTGTTTATAGTGCTAAGACCCCTCAGTGACAGTATATACCTTGATGCCAGAGCTATAGTGACCTTGATGGTACTTGTTTATAGTGCTAAGACCCCTCAGTGACAGTATATACCTTGATGCCAGTGCTAAGACCCCTCAGTGACAGTATATACCTTGATGGCAGTTGTTTATAGTGCTAAGACCCCTCAGTGACAGTATATACCTTGATGACACTTGTTTATAGTGCTAAGACCCCTCAGTGACAGTATATACCTTGATGCCACTTGTTTATAGTGCTAAGACCCCTCAGTGACAGTATATACCTTGATGGTACTTTATAGTTTATAGTGCTAAGACCAGTTGTTTATAGTGCTGACAGTGACAGTATACCTTGATGCCAGTTGTTTATAGTGCTAAGACCCCTCAGTGACAGTATATACCTTGATGCCAGTTGTTTATAGTGCTAAGACCCTCAGTGACAGTATATACCTTGATGCCAGTTGTTTATAGTGCTAAGACCCCTCAGTGACAGTATATACCTTGATGCCAGTTGTTTAGTGCTAAGACCCTTCAGTGACAGTATATACCTTGATGCCAGTTGTTTATAGTGCTAAGACCCCTCAGTGACAGTATATACCTTGATGCCAGTTGTTTATAGTGCTAAGACCCCTCAGTGACAGTATATACCTTGATGCCAGTTGTTTATAGTGCTAAGACCCCTCAGTGACAGTATATACCTTGATGCCAGTTGTTTATAGTGCTAAGACCCTTCAGTGACAGTATATACCTTGATGCCAGTTGTTTATAGTGCTAAGACCCCTCAGTGACAGTATATACCTTGATGCCAGTTGTTTATAGTGCTAAGACCCCTCAGTGACAGTATATACCTTGATGCCAGTTGTTTATAGTGCTAAGACCCTCAGTGACAGTATATACCTTGATGCCAGTTGTTTATAGTGCTAAGACCCTCAGTGACAGTATATACCTTGATGCCAGTTGTTTATAGTGCTAAGACCCCTCAGTGACAGTATATACCTTGATGCCAGTTGTTTATAGTGCTAAGACCCCTCAGTGACAGTATATACCTTGATGCCAGAGCTAAGACCCCTCAGTGACAGTATATACCTTGATGCCAGTTGTTTATAGTGCTAAGACCCCTCAGTGACAGTATATACCTTGATGGCAGTTGTTTATAGTGCTAAGACCCCTCAGTGACAGTATATACCTTGATGCCAGTTGTTTATAGTGCTAAGACCCTCAGTGACAGTATATACCTTGATGCCAGTGACCCCTCAGTGACAGTATATATATACCTTGATGCCAGTTGTTTATAGTGCTAAGACCCCTCAGTGACAGTATATACCTTGATGCCAGAGCTAAGACCCCTCAGTGACAGTATATACCTTGATGCCAGTTGTTTATAGTGCTAAGACCCTTCAGTGACAGTATATACCTTGATGCCAGTTGTTTATAGTGCTAAGACCCCTCAGTGACAGTATATACCTTGATGCCAGTTGTTTATAGTGCTAAGACCCCTCAGTGACAGTATATACCTTGATGCCAGTTGTTTATAGTGCTAAGACCCCTCAGTGACAGTATATACCTTGATGCCAGAGCTAAGACCCCTCAGTGACAGTATATACCTTGATGCCAGTTGTTTATAGTGCTAAGACCCCTCAGTGACAGTATATATGCCAGAGCTAAGACCCCTTGATGCCAGTATGTACCTTGCTAAGACCCCTCAGTGACAGTATATACCTTGATGCCAGTTGTTTATAGTGCTAAGACCCTCAGTGACAGTATATACCTTGATGCCAGTTGTTTATAGTGCTAAGACCCTCAGTGACAGTATATACCTTGATGCCAGTTGTTTATAGTGCTAAGACCCCTCAGTGACAGTATATACCTTGATGCCAGAGCTAAGACCCCTCAGTGACAGTATATACCTTGATGCCAGTTGTTTATAGTGCTAAGACCCCTCAGTGACAGTATATACCTTGATGCCAGTTGTTTATAGTGCTAAGACCCCTCAGTGACAGTATATACCTTGATGCCAGTTGTTTATAGTGCTAAGACCCCTCAGTGACAGTATATACCTTGATGCCAGAGCTAAGACCCCTCAGTGAAGTATATACCTTGATGCCAGTTGTTTATAGTGCTAAGACCCTCAGTGACAGTATATACCTTGATGCCAGTTGTTTATAGTGCTAAGACCCCTCAGTGACAGTATATACCTTGATGCCAGTTGTTTATAGTGCTAAGACCCCTCAGTGACAGTATATACCTTGATGCCAGTTGTTTATAGTGCTAAGACCCCTCAGTGACAGTATATACCTTGATGCCAGTTGTTTATAGTGCTAAGACCCCTCAGTGACAGTATATACCTTGATGCCAGTTGTTTAAAGTGCTAAGACCCCTCAGTGACAGTATATACCTTGCTGGCACTTGTTTATAGTGCTAAGACCCCTCAGTGACAGTATATACCTTGATGCCAGTTGTTTATAGTGCTAAGACCCCTCAGTGACAGTATATACCTTGCTGGCACTTGTTTATAGTGCTAAGACCCCTCAGTGACAGTATATACCTTAATGCCAGTTGTTTATAGTGCTAAGACTCGTTCAGTGACAGTATATGCCTTGATGCCAGTTTCTTGCGTTACACGCCCACGTGTCTGCCTTGATATCTACTGAGCAGCAAAAAAACGTCAGTACGAATTCAAAATTAGATAGGCACTGTAATCAAATCATTACAGAAATGGATATAAGAAGCGGATCAAAAACATTTTTTGTGTACAATATCCTGACACATCCATGGATAACTCAGCACAATTCCAAGACATTATGTGAACGTTTGCAGTCCATTCAGACTCTTGACTTCAGTATCTAGTGTGACCACCACGAGCGGCAATAACTGCAGCACAGCGTATATGCATGGAGTGCACCAATCGATTGATGAATGCCACTGGCACCTGGAGCCACACTCTGAGAAAGGCCAGGCGCAATAAATCGGGTATGTTCGGCCTAAGTATGACATTATTCAGTCTCCTCTGAATTTCATACCAAAGATGTTCAATTGGGTTTAAATCAAGACTAAGGGCTGGCCACTGCATAATGTTGACACCGTTCTGCTGTAGGAAGTCCCGTGTAGCTCTGGCAGTATGGGCCCGGGTGTTATCATGCGGGAAAATGTTGTTCCGGTGACGTGCAAAATGTGGTATGACGTGGCTCTGAGAGCTTGGTCGATGTAGCGCACCGCTGTGATACCGCCTCTTCCCCCTGGACCAAGGTTCTGGAACACGACAGGACCCACTCTCTGGTTCAGGCCTATTCCACCCCATATCATGATGCTTGCACCTCCCCACGAGTCTCTTTCCATAACACATTGGTATGAGTAAGGCTGGCCACGTCGTCGCCATATTCTTGTTCTGCCATCTGCAGTTGATACGCAGTACCGACTCTCATCTGTGAACAGAACAGTTCTCCATGGCCTGTATCGCCAGTTTTGTTGTTGTAGGGCAAACTGTAGACGTTCACGCCGATGATGAGGGGTGAGGATAGGTCCCGGTAAGGTCTACGACAATGGAGGTTCCTGCTGTTAAGACAGCGGCGTACTGTATCAGTACTGATTTGTCTTCCGTGTGTTCCCACCGTCTGGCGTGCTGTTTCTGATGCCTGCATGAAGGGATTCTGTACATGCTGTCGCACAACATGGCGGTCTTGTCGTCTTGTGGTCACCCTTGGTCTGCCAATACGGGGGTGATCATTTGTGATGTTGGTGGCCCGGAAACGTTGCTGCAGCCTGTAGATGGACCTGGAAGTGATTGGCAACGGCTTGTGCAGTGTGGCCAGCTTCAAGTCTTTCTAGCGCCTGGTTCTTCTGGGCTGTCGTGAGTCGCGGCATCCTGCTGACGTTTTAATGTGAATGTTTCAACCAGGTTTCGGGGTGCATTGTATAGGGCTGGTCTTTGTGAACAGCACGTGCAGCATGAGTTGCATGAAAAACATGGAGAACACTGTACCATCTCCGAGATCAGGTTGCGTTTTTGAGACCATTTCCTGAGTTTGGGAAGGAATGACTTTGCTCAGGTAAGTTGGAGATGTTGTCAACTATATACAATCAAAACATTAAATGAGTTTACAGTTATCCGTTTCTGCGAAGGAAAATTCCAAACTGACATTTCTTTTGCTGCTTAGTATATGTTATGATGAATTTCGATGATTCACCTCTTTGTGTTATTAATGAATGAATGCTTTGAAAATTGTTTTTGGCATATCATGGCGTGGAAGCTTACTGTAGGAACAACGCCCGGGATGATGGAGGTTCCAGACGGTTAACCTTCAAATGGCTCTGTCAAATATTGGAAATCTTAATCTTGACAGATGACCATCATGAAACGGAAAAACGTCATTAATTTCTTTTATTGCAGAACCATAAAGCATCAGAATGGAGTTTGGTGGACACTATGTCTGAAGATATCGCCGACAGCATGGAGCTGCAATGTGAACTGACAATGGAAATGGAGAAAAACGTTTGTCAGTACATCCAGTTCATCAAGTCTGTGCCTGGCTTCAACGATTTATCTTCCAATGACAGAGAACAACTCATCAAAAGTATGTCATCGAATTGTGCGATTCGAAATAATATCACACATTAAGCTGTTTGTCCAGACTGAATCATATAACCATGATTACCGACGTGGATCGTCGTTATTGTATTTCATCACTGGTTTATCTGGTCTAGCCTCATTCATATACAGGTCCATAGTATACCATGTCTCCAGGAAACATCGTTAAATGATATCTAAATCATAATAAATTGCTTGACGTACAACATATATTAAAAAAGAAAATAAGGAAGTACTGTAAATCCTTTTCTCGCGCTGAAAGGTTTAAACAAAAAGGGACGAATAGCACAAAATCAAAAGGTTATGTTTATGGATAGCCTAGTGGTTAAAGCATTCGGTCGTCACGAAGAAGACCCGGGTTCGATTCCCTACATGGGTACATTGTGTGAACCATATTGCTAGAATATTGAAAAGAGCAGCAAAAAAACCTCACTTACTTATTCACCATGAGTAAAATCAAAGTGTGAGTGAGTGAGGTTGGATTTTACGCCGAATCGAACCCGGGCGTGACTTGCGAGTGCTTTAACCGCTGGGCAACCCGACTGCCCCCGATTAATATTGTGTTGGTGTTTTCTTATGTTTCTTCAGTAATATACTATCATTCTGTTACGCCAGATGGTCGACTGGAGTTTCTCGTGTTGGAGCAGTTTCCTGGTTACAACAGAGAGCTGAATGTGGCATCGATATCAATGTCGCTGTGCTATCGAGCTGACACGTTGAGCAGGATATGGGGCAAGGAATACATGGCCAAACTGTTTGTGATTGCTACTTCTTTAAAACGGATGAATCTCTCTTTGACCGAATTGGTGTTGGTCGAAGGGATGTGTGTGATAAGTGCAGGTAAACTTTATATACTGAAGGAAAATAATAAGGGATCACATGAAAGCACAAGTGTTCCTTTATTTTTTTCCAGGTTTCTTCACAAGCGTTTACGTTGTATGGCATAGCTTGTGAAGACATCTGGAAACAAATAAAGGAACACTTGTGCTTTCATGTGATCCATTATTTTTTCCAGGGGCGGTGGGGTAGCCTAGTGGTTAAAGCGTTGGCTCGTCACGCCGAAGGCCCGGGTTCGATTCCCCACATGGGCACAATGTGTTAAGCCCATTTCTGGTGTCCCCCGCCGTGATATTGCTGGAATATTGCTAAAAGCGGCGTAAAACTAAACTCAGTCAGTCAGCCTTATTTTTTCCCTCGGTATGTTTTGGTAGCTCCTTTTCAGGTTGAGTGAGAATGGTTTTACGCTGCTTTTAGCAATGTTCCAGCAATATCACGGCCTGCTACATCAGCAATGGGTTTCACACATTGCACCCGTGTGGGGAATCGACTAACTGAGTATGGTTTTACGCCGTTTTTAGCAATATTCCAGCAATATCACGGCGGGGGACACCAGAAATGAGCTTCACAAATTGTACCCATGTAGGGTGACAAGCGAACGCTTTAACCACTGGGCTACCCTACCGCCCCTGTGGGGAATCGAACCCGGGTTTTCAGCGTGACGAGCGGACGCCTTAACCATTAGGCTACCCCACCGCCCCTTCCCTTTCAGAAACCATTTAGAGGAGGCGCTTTTTGCCGTCCCCTAGGCGAATTGTAATTTAAAGGTGCTTCTGATTTTCAGTAATCCTTTGATTCCTTTCCCATTCATTTCGTCATATTTTACAAATATCCCCTTATGCAATCTGTTGTTTAGGGAGGTATTCGAGACTGATTTGGGTATCCTTGGCTCCTTGTGTCATTGCTGAATTTCAGTTGTCTATTAACGAATACGACATCACTATTTCGTTTTTACGCCATATTCGCCAATCTATTTTGGCAGATAGGCGAAACTTGAATGAGTTTTTTTGTCACATCGGCAGTATTTCAGCCATATCGCAACTAAAACACGAAGGACAGTAAACACAACCAGACTATTACAGGTATCAATGTAAAACTTGTATGTAGATAAAACTAGAGGTAATACAATATGTAACAGGCTATTGATCGCCAACAACTGAAGGTCGATCACCATTGACCATGGGAACCCAAGATGGAATTAAAGCATCACTTCAGTCGTTGGCGACTGTGCTCTTTACCTTTATATACTCATGGAAACGAATAAGGGAACACATGAAAGTACAAGTGTTCCTTTATTCTTTTCCATAATTTCACCCACAGTGTAATACAAAGCTTGTTAAGAAACCTGGGGCGGTATTCATAAAAGAACTTAAGTCTGAAATATGACTTAAGTTTTTGAAAAAACTAAGTTTTTCACTATTTCTGACTTAAGTTTTGAGATTTTACTTAAGTCATAGTCATAAAGAAACTTAGGCTTAAGTTTTGGCTATTTCTGACTTGAATCTTAAGACTGGGCAGGGGTAGGCTAAACTAGAAGGTGTTTGACTTAAGTCAGTAAACAATTTGGCTGCCGTAACACTGAGGCTTTCACCAAAGAAGGCAAAGTCTCGTTGAATACAGCGGTGAAGAATTAATTCGGCGATACCGTCTAGATGGGAATGGCATTAGATTCGAGGCCAGTCTAATAGCGCCAGACGTAGAGCCCACAACCACCGGTAACCACGCACTGGATGCCTCACAAAAGACGCTCATCACACTAGGTACTTTGCCACTAGAAAATTTCAGTTGTGCAATGCGGACGATCAAGGTGTCAGCCAGCCAACCATTTCCAGAGCTGTGAATGACTGCATACGGAGTTTGACCTCGGCTAATCATCACCTACACTCACTACATTTTCCAGTGTTTGATGCATTTTGGGCTGCTTCATAGGTGTACCAATGTAATTCAGAAAAGAGAAGAGAAAATCGTACATATTATACAAATAAAAACTATGCGTAGCACGTAGTCTAAGACATTTCTGTATTCTTGACCATGTACAGCTTGACAGTCAGACCCAATGTTTACATTACCTGCCACGCCTCTTGCCGCTTCGCCGATGTCACGCCCGGACCAAACTTCCCTTCCCACACACTGGCGTTTGTTTTGACGAGTTCTGTCAAAAGCAGGACCTCGTTTTTGTTCCAGTTGGGTTTTCTCTTCTTTATCTCAGCCTCCGACATATTTGTCACAATGTATTACCGCGGTACCTCGATGTGTCGTCTGCCGTAAATAGCAAAAGGGAAATCCCAACGAAAGCGATTTTCCACACCTTTTTTTAAAAGAGTTCCACCGGAAGTCTAAAAATAACTCGGATGCACCCTAGTGATCACGCGGGTACGCACTACGAAGAAAACTTAGTTTGTCTTTGGAAACTTAGCTAAGTTTCTGACTTAGTAGCTTTATGAATAGCAACTTAAGTCTTAGACTTAGCTAAGTCAGTTTTCAAAAACTAAGTTTGGACTTAGGACAAATCTTAGTTTCTTTATGAATACCGACCCTGGTAAAGAAAAAAGGAACACTTGTACTTTCAGGTGTTCCCTTATTCGTTTCCATAAGTATACAAAACATTTATCATTTTTTCTCAAACAATTCAATTTCCTTTAAAAAAATCAATCAACTAAAATTTTGAGTCAACGAGACAGATTCGTGATTTATTGCAGACTGTGGCGATAAACTGTACTCTTTTCACTGGGAATATGATCGTGTTCATTGTGTCAATGCGATTTTGAAGGTTTGATGAACACATTGTTTTGTTTTGTTTCCTGTACGTGACCCGTGACGGTCCGGGTTAGAATGAACCTTCAGAAACCCATGCTTGTCGAAAGATGCGACTAACGGGATCGGGTGGTCAGGCTCACTGTCTTGCTTGCCACATGTCATCGGTTCCCAATTGCGCAGATCGATGCTCATGCTGTTGATCACTGGATTGTCTGGTCCAGACTCGATTATTTACAGACCGCCGCCATGTAGCTGGAATATTGCTTAGTGCGGCGTAAAACTAAACTCACTCACTCCTGTACGTGCGCCAAGTAGCATTCGTGAATGCATTGCACTGAATTGGCAGTGAGCAGGTCATGTACTTGTAAAGTGTTTATGGCCATCTTTCAGACCGCTGTGCCCTGGACGAACCAAGTAAAGTAGATTCTATCCGATGGGGAATTGTGGAAGCTCTGATTCACCACATGAAGAAAAGACACAGAAAGCCATTGGCAAGATTTGCCAAGATCATTGACCGTGTCACGATTCTACGAGAACTTTGTGAACTGGATCATAAAACAGCGACCGACCTCTCCCAATGGCATTTTATGCAACAAAGTCAACTACTCATGGAAGTATATGATTTGTGATAAGCTTTGTGTTGTTGAAGGTGAAGATGCGGTTGTCGACAAACGGGATCGGGTAGTCAGGTTCGCTGACTTAGTTGATGCATGTCATCGTATCCCAATAGCGTACATCGATTGCCCATGCTGTTGGTCACTGGATTGTCTGGTCCAGACCGCGCCATATAGCTAGAATATTGTTGACTGCGGCGTAAAACTAAATCACTCATCCACTCAAGGTGAACATGTGGACTAGAATTGGTTTTCACCAACCTTGTCGAAAGAGGCGGCCAAGGCGATCGAGTAGTAAGGCTCGCGGACTTGGTTGACACATGTCATCGTATCTCAATAATGTAGATCGATGCTAATGATGATGGTCACTGGATTGTCCGGTCCAGACTCTATTATTGATGTGTTCTGACGTACCCAAGTAACTTCAGTCTTCGCCTTAGAAGACTGGTCCCCATGCCCTTTGTTCCCTTCCTATTTGGTGCCAGATTGCTGATATCTAAAGAGTGAGTGAGTGACTATAGTTTTACGCCGCACTCAGCAATATTGCAGCTATATTGAGGAGGTCTGTAAATAATCGAGTCTAGACCAGACACTCCAGTGATCAACAGCATGAGCATCGTACTGCTCATTTGGGATACAATGACATGTTCAACCAAGGCAGCGAGCCTTACCACCCGATCCCGTAAGTCGCCTCTTACGACAAGCCTATTGTGCCAAGCATGGGTTGCTGAAGACCTATTCTACCCCGGAGCTTCACGGGTCTGGTATCTAAAGAGAAGAAAAACATCAACGACGGCATCTCCTGTGGTGCCTCGTTAGCAACCGTATATAAATACATAATTTGTGGTTGATCTGATGTAGGTGCTGCATATTCTACTATGCACAGTTCCTCTGGTAGTGTAGACAACCATGATATTCCCCCCAGTGTCTTTTGGGAACGGCGAGCCTTGAGTCATTGAATAGGTAGCATGCACCATTCCATAGCTCAAACGAGCGACAGATGAAGCGTTTGATCTGCCTACACTTCTCACTGCATCTCTTAAAGTTGGGTAAGGGCCACGTCTCATCGTTGGGGCCGTGGCTGCAGTATTTGTAAGCCAGAAGACTGAAGGCTGTGCCGTAGTTGTCGCACTCTGTTAAAATGAAATACAACACACTCACAGTTCTCTGTCAAGAGTTTACTGGTTTATACCACTCTCAAGAATATTACACATGTATCACAGTGGCAGGTAAAGCCTCAGAACTGGGTAACAGTGACAGCCGTTATGAACTATGGTATCCAGTGTTGTTGGCTCTCATGACATGGGGCTCGAGGTTCTACCCATACAAGCCACCATTGTAACATCCATTAAGACATTGCTCCCCAAATAATCCCCATTGCATTTAAGTTGCCTGTCTTGAAGATCGTCAACGGAATATTGCAATGAAAATGAATAGACGTTATCATTTACCATTCCTATGTCGTTGTAATGCTTCGAATCAATGTCAGACACAGAGGAAATGTAAAATAAGAAGATAATTCAATAAGAAACGACAGAAAATAAAGCGAGTTTATCAAAATCAGTGATTAAAGATATAATGTAATAAACCAGTTCAAAAGATCAACTGTTTGTGTGCTTTTAAATTTAGACCTTGAAACACCAAGAGCGATTTTTCGCTGGCGATGCTCTGAGCTGCCATTTCGCTGGATTGGTGTGATGAGACCTTTTGGTCCATAAACACACCATTATGCTACCTTTAGGGACATTAGGGCATCATTGTTTATGTGTTTCACGTAGCCACCAAATTCTGAACATGGGTCGGTCGAGGAAACCAAAAACCAAAAGTAACTTAACATAGAAAGAATTATCTGAATAATGTTCTTGATTCTCATTTATTGTAATGCATATTATATACAATTTCTCGCGTTCTTTGGACTTGTGACAGCGACTGATTATAAGATAAACATTTTATATGACCAGGCGGTACGAGTCCACGAGGTTCGAGTCGGCGGTGTTGGAATGAAAAAAATAGTCTTTTGGGAGGGTGGGCAATAAAATTAGGAGGGTCAGTCGGGCCATTAGAAACACAGAAAATATAAATCCTCCCCTTATATCTTAAGTTATATATTGTTATTCCCACCGATATCGATATCAATATGGACTAGTAGATCACCTGAATACCTGGATGGTTCACAAACCGAGTCAAATAGACAGATTCGTTGGATAATCGTGATTGGTTAAGCTCTGGTGTTGACTTTTCATATTTTCATTTTAAGTGTTTTCATTGGGTGTCTGAGTCTCTCCCCAGCAACATGCTAGCATGGGTAATAATGCCAGAAATGTAAGTTCCAGTCAGTAATAACTCCTGGATTTGTACCAGAGGTTCGATTGTGGCTGGTTGCTGAAAATTCAACCCGGATCTTCACGGGTCATCTATATAACTGTAAACCTGACGTTGTGACGATCAGACAAGATCTTAACGGACAACGGTACATCACTGACATCCCTTAGAGGGGTCCGGATCTCAATGCCATGACATTGTTATTGATTCTTCTGCGACTTCTCCAGGATTGTATGCCAGAATCTTGAACATTACCGCATTTATTAACGTCTTACGACAATAGTTATCAGCATTACACAATGAGTAAATTTTTCCTATGTTTGTTTTTCCGAATAAACTACAACTTTTCGTTATTTTTCGTTTAGAACCGTAATTTACAATTTTCCCATAAATTTTGGAGAAAATCTTAGTTCATAATACTCATTATAGAATTGTCAAATAGGTGTTACATTATGTAGTAAGGTACTCAATATGGGAGGCAACTTTTGTAGGTTTAAGAATGAACCTTACTACATCAAGAGTTATCTCCCCTGGTGTAGCAGACGGCTTCCTTTGTTGACATGGCAGATTTGACAGCGTTAGAGAAATGAAAGCTGGTTCTAGATGATTTTGAAAGTGGTGTGACTAATGTCCCACTATGTCCCTAATGCGGCCACTTTTACCGTAACCCAGTTTTTGGATTCAAATGCTTACATAAAGTGATTAAATCTGGAAGATTTTGTTACTCTTTTCCATAATCGAGATTAAAATGTTGAATTATGACGGTGCTTTTGTGTGTTTCATCTTGGAATATCAGTACAACATTCAAACATTTTTGTTTTCATCTTCTTGTGACATGGTAAATGGGAGAACTGATTTTTTATAATGAACCAAAAGTGATCATGCTATAGTTCTGGAATGACAACTCAGTTGGTAAATCCTACAAGCTCAACCATACTGAATGTATAGTAATCTGCCCAGTATGGAAAACAATGTCCGATAGAACATGTCTGCCAGATACACTACATATACTTTCCATCAAAGATTTAGACTCACTAGTGTAAATGTAGCCACTTACATCAGGCAACTGTTCTGAACTAACTTTTTCAAAATATTCCATACTGTTTAAAGGTACTGTTTACATATGAACTGATGTATTGCAAAACAAATTCGTAACGTTGAAAAGATTGTTGTTATGAGTTCAATAAATGATAAAAATCAGTGAAAATTGGCGAATTCTTAACAAAACTTTACACCAAAACACAGCTGTTCACATGCACGATATTTGCACATCCTTATCTGCATAATGTTTGCAGCTGCTTCTCCCAATTTTGTGGACAAATCAATCGTAACCATATAGAAGGAAGAAATTTGGTCCCATGAGATTCAAACAACAGCAATCTTGTATACATAAGCCGACGTCAGTCAATGAGAAGTTGATTGGTGTAGCAAACTGATCCAATTAACAAACCAGCGCGGCTCACACCTTTCCGCCATTGACGGGTGAGTTCAAAAGGCAGATTAGTGATTTTACGGAAATCACTGTCTGTGCTAATCAGGCTGGAACTGATAAGGTGCCCCTATTAGTGATATGGAAATCATTAGATAAACAAATGCTTAGGCGGAGGAATTAGGACTGGATCATCTTGGTTTTCTACTCTCATAGACATACCTATGTCTCGAATACATCGATTAGTCGAATTTATTACTTGGTCCCCAGCGATTCGACTCATCGGGTTTTAACTGTATATATACACAATACATTTAGTGAGTGTTTTAAGTGAGTAAGGAAGTAGATTATTGAGTAATATGGAGATCTAACCTTCGATACACGATCGGTCTTTAGGGTTAAAGCTGTAGCCAACATCACATTTGCACTTATTCGCAATGCACTGTGTCCTGTTATCCACGCATTCAGAGCTTCTGGAACACTTCTCATCATAGTGCTGAGGCTTGCGATCTGAAGATGACCAAATGTGTAAGTTATATGCAGGTGCAAGACATTCTGTTTTGAAATATTTGGTCTGTAAAATGACACATTATGACGGTAAATGAATCCAGACAGACTGATCTCTGGTCGTCTCTAATAAGCAGCTGATTCCTATTCAAAACTGGAAGATTGCATATCTCTGGTTGTGTCTAGTGACAAGACATACCTATTTTCATCCCTACTGTTCTACAGATTGAATGTCTGATGAAAGATTAGACTGACTGACTGAGTTTGGTTTTACGCCGCTTTTAGCAATATTCCAGCAATATCACGGCGGGGCACACCAGAAATGGGCTTCACAAATTGTACCCATGTGGGGAATCGAACCCAAGTCTGCGGCGTGACGAGCGAACGCTTTAACCACTAGGCTACCCCACCGCCCTGAAAGATTAGATGTCTCCCCCGTTGATTGCTTGAAGGTCTGAATGTAGGTTTACACAGTATTCACAGCATTCATCCGAACCATTTTGTAGGTAAGGAAAACATTGGGAGATACCGTTAACTACTGGACTAGCTCCTAAGATTACATTGGTGAATATTGGTCCACACATTTGTGATAGATGACACGCGGCCAAACTAGTCAGTGAAACCAGACCAATCGGTCTGTTTAGTCATACTTCATCATAAGCAGTGAGTGAGTGAGTGAGTTTAGTTTTACGCCGCACTCAGCAATATTCCAACTATATGGCGGCGGTCTGTAAATAATCGAGTCTGGACCAGACAA